TTATTTTATTATTATTATAGTGCTAGCTAGATGGAGCAAAAAAGGTACTCACACAGTATTTGTATATCTCAGAACATGCAAGTATGCATTTTTGAGCCAGAATAATAGCTATGGGCTTCCAGTTTACTTCAAATGCGTAGAAAAAAAGTGGTTATAGAAAATTAGAGCCATTCTCTTAGGAAGAGGTTTACACATGTACTGTAGTAGTAAATCATGTACCGAACCATGCTTTTTAAAATCCCTGTTTCTCCCAGCAAGCAAGGCAAGTAGACTTCTTTTTAAATGAGATTCTGGCCTACCTCTTTTGTATAGCCCCCTATCCTTCAACACAAAGAAAGAGCTCTTATTGGATCATGGTTGTTTTGTTTTGCATGTATGTTATCAGATGTATTATAAGTAGAGGAACATTGTGTGAAACATATGAGCTGAAAATTCCCTTTGAAATCTAGTCTCAGACATATCTTTCTTATTAATAAATCAAACTGTAAACTGCACTTCTCAGAGAGAGTGATTTTGAAATGTTTCTCACTTTAGGATCTAAAGACACCAATTTATTGTTCCATAGATATCAGCCTTCCAAAATCAGCAGCAATATGTTACACAGCAGCACTCTTAAAGGCCAGAGCAGTTTCAGATAGGTGAGTGAAATACTTGAGCTACAGATTAATGTGGTATTGAAAGAGTCCATGCATAGTTTAAATACAGCATTGAATTAAAAACCCATCTTAATGGAATTCTCAAAATCTCTGAAAAAAAAGTTTTCTTAGTACGTGTGAGCTCATGTGGTACCTTAGCCCATAGTAACATGGCATCAGTTGATGGTGAGCTTTATATGCAAAGGGATCTTGTTATCAGACTGTCCCACTGTACACCCACATTTCTGGTCAGTGCAAAATGAGCCCTTTGATTTCTGTTCTCTTTGTCATTCTTTAAAACAACAAAACTACAGTTACATTGAGGCCATTTGCAAATATGCCTGCCTATTGATTAGAAATGAGATATTCATATTCATCTCCCGGGGGAGACAAATATGAATATTGCTACCATGGGTGGCCAGGTCCTTTTGACCCTTCCCCAAGAACCAGCCAATCCACTTACTATTTGTGGTGCGCATGGCCATCCTCGTTTGCACCGGGCCAATCGTGGAAATAGCCTGGCTGGGACATCATCACGTCTCTGCGCCACTGACCACTCCAGCCAGGAGGCAGGGTGGCAAGTCTCCCCACCCAGCTGCTGAGTGGTCAGCAGCTTAGGGAGGCAGGGAATCCCCAACCAGGCTGCTTTCCCCCAGGATACAAATATGAATATCCCATCTCTTCTAGTGACTGCTTCTGCAAAGTATATTATTCATTATCACCTGATCCTCTCTTTGTTGCTGCAGAATGGGAAATGGATGGCTTTGTGGGACTAAGACCAGTGCATGGGAGAGGAATATAAATGTCAGTTTTCTGAGTGTATTCTGCTTGCCATGTGGAGCAGATATGTTTTGGATTCAAATTCAAATGGCTAATATTTGTATTTCTCAGTATGTTGTGTGACTTTTCCAAGCAATACCTCAGCTTGGGTAGGAGCATTTGGTCTTGTTTGTTTCAATTTTAGATCGGATAGTCTTCTGAGTTTGCGATTGCCTACACTGGTGGTGGGGACAGTTGATATATTGTTGAACTGTAACATAACAGCATTCTTTGCCATGGTCTCTGCTGGCTGTAGCTGATGGATGGGAGTAATAAACCAACTGCATCTGAAAGGCTAGACCTCATCCATACTTGGTGTACACTTTGTGTGTTCCATTAGATAGCTGAGGAAGTATATGAAAGAAAAATCGCTGCTTTTATTCAGAGATTGGCTTAGGCCAGTGGTTCTTAACCTTTTTGAAAGAAACGCCCCCTTGAGCCATTGAGGAAGTTATCATCGCCCCCCTCCCCGCGGTGATGATATATTTATTTATTTATTTATTGATTGATTGATTGTTATTCATTTAAGACACTTAAATCAATGACCCCTGAAAACAAAATTAAATTCCAAGAAAATGAAATGCCCCCCCAAAAAGTAACATTTAATGATTTAGTTGCAAGTGAATTTTAAGACGCAAAAAGAAATATAAAAAGGGCATAAAAACAAATGCAGGAACTAAAAATTTCAAGACAAAAAGTCTGAAATTAAATTAAAATTGGAGGAAAATATATATTCATGCACACTGTAAAAAGACTGCAGTCATCTTCACAGGTTTGGCTTGCTCCAGCGCCCCCATGCCGCCCCTTTTCGTTCTACCGCCCCCCTGAAAAATGAAATCGCCCCCTGGGGGGCATTATCGCCCACGTTAAGAACCACTGGCTTAGGCATCACTTTCTTTGTTAACTCGTTTCAGATTAAGATATAAAGTGATGAATGCTTCAGTGTTTCAGGAAGTACACTTTTACACCCGACCATTTGAAGTAGCATGTACTACTTTGTGATATTAAATTTCTGCTTCAATATGTCAGCTCAGTTAATTTAAGTTCAGGCTCCCAAATTTTATTTTGATCAGTTGACCTCTAAAAAGACTAATTTAATGTTTTCCTAGGTAGAGCAATTTAATGAGCTTCTGGATTTTGTTGTAGGTTCTCTCCAGAAACGGCCTCCAGAAGGGGACTTAGCACAGCTGAGATTAATGCTGTAGAGGCAATACACAGAGCTGTTGAATTTAATCCCCATGTTCCAAAGGTAAGTGTGTGTTTGTTTCCCCAGCAAGGCAAGCCAACTAAAATAATTCCTTGTACTTGAGATATCTTTCTTTTGAATGCTTCCTTGCATATATCATATTGAGGGCTGAACATTAGAGTTAACAAAATACATAATTTCCATTAATATGACTCACTAAGACAAAGGTGGTAGCAGATCATAGAACCATGAAGTTGGAAGGGGCTGGTAAGGCCATGGAGTCCGATCGCCTGCTCAGTGCAGGAATGCAGTGCTTGCAGCTAAGTAATGGTGATTGAGAGAGGGTAAGTAGAGACACTCCAGGTACTTTTTAAAATTCCCCCCTTTCTGGATGGGGTCTAAAATTGAAAGCTCAATGAAGGAGGGGCAAAAATAGGACATTTGTATACTCTAATGTTATACATATAGGTGCAAATACTAGAATTTTCTTCATTTCACAAAAGTTAAGCTAATTAATTTCCCATCCAAAACACCTCAGCCGCCCTGAGTAGACATGGTGTAGAGGGGCCGGGTATAAATAAATAAATGAATGAATGAATGAATGAATGAATGTATTATTATATGGTCACATCTTACCATTGCCATACAATAATTCTCTAGAAAGTTTCAGTAGGCTGCCGTCTGTCAAGTTATGCCCTGTTTGGATGTTGAGGCTTTCTAATGTCTCCTGTCAAGGATCCCTCTCTATAGTCTAGCTCTGTGGAGGGAAAGGTATTAGTTACAAAAGAGAAAGAAGAAAGTTTTTTTTAAAAAAATTGCTGCTCACAGCCTAAAAGGCCCAGAAGTTAACAAAATATGTAAGAAGAGGTGGTAGCTTAGTGACCATCCATTATAGTACATGGGGGAAATTTTAGTGAGTAATTATTTGTTGAAAAAATGCAGCTGTATCTCAGATACAGAAAGAAATCCATCTTTTAAAAAAGGATAGCATATATACACAGAATCTCACATAAAATAATTAAAGTTAATATAACTCAACTAGAGTTACTTAAGCAGTCTTACATTTCAGAACTATCTGCAGAAATGACAGTGGGAGAGAAATCCAGCATATGACTTATGTGACTAAATTCTGTAAAAGCTACTCCAGTAGTAGCACTGGATTCTTTCAGGGTGGATCCAAATCAAAGCAGATCTAACAGATAATTGTCCAGTTTTTACTTGAGTGCCTCCAGTGTTAGAATGCTCACTGCGTCCTGAGGTGATTGATTCCATTGCCATACTGCTCTGACATTTAAGACATTTGTCCTGATGTTCAGCCTAAATCAGGCTTCCAATTAGATTTTTAAAAATTCATTGATTTTATCCACCCTGGATTGGATACAATACACTCCCTTTCTGATCTCACTGTAATTGGCGTATGAAAACTACTTAGTTTCACAAGTGTATTTACTGTATTTGTTTGAAATATTTTTATCCTGCTTTTCTCCTTAAAAGGACCAAAGGTGACTTGCATAATTAAAAAGATGATTTTTAAAAGCTAAAGGCAGAAAGTATACAAGTATTTAAAAAGTATTAAACAAGTATTATATTAAAACAGATTAAAATCAATTCTAAAAATACATTTAAAAGCAATAGAGCATAACAATCTGTACAAAATCCCTCTTAGACATACAGCCAGTCACGAAAGAAAACTGCCTGAAGAGAAAGGTATTTGCCTGCTTGTGGAAGGACAGCAAAAATGGGGCCAGTCTGGCTTCTCATGGGAGGGAGTTTCAGAGTCCGAGAGCAGTGACAGAAAAGGCCCTCTCCTGTGTGCAGCCAAGCAAGTCTGTGAGGGTGGCAGGACAGAGAAAAAGACCTCTCCTGATTATCTTAATGCCTGGGCAGGCTCATAGAGGGAGATGCTGTCTTTTACATCGCTTGTGAAAACTGTTTAGATACTATAGACTATCTTAAGAACTTCATACTTACTTGCCAAAAGAGTTAGCTGGTTACAAGAAGCTACAGTTTTGAGGGAAAATACTGGTTGTCAACTCAGAGACAAAACTCAGAAACTATGCTTATTTTACAGTAGCTCACAGTGGGACTGCAAAGTCCCAGACCCTCTAGGGGTCACTATTAAACTACAACAGAATATAGTGTGCACTCAAAGCAGTCCAGCCTCAGCTCTCCCATATCCTATTTTTTTCCCCAACATGATCCTTTCTCAGAATTACTCGCCTTCAACTAATACATTCATTGATCACCATCCCCACCGTAAACTGCGGTTATAGTGAGAAATATTTCTTCTATAAAAAGATACTTGAGGTTGCTAACGTATAGGTGCATAAAACCTATTAAATCAAAATGCTGAGAATTCAATGAAGCTATAGAAAGTACAAAATTGTTATATTGGATTAGATGTTTTAACCATACCATTAGAATGTTCAACTGAGAGATCCCGTATTTAGCATTAAAAAGGCAAAAATTAGTTGCTATAATTGTTGTTACAATTCACAGCGTCAAGGCCAAACCTTTCATTTATGTCAAGAAAAATGAGACAGCAACCTACAAATTATGGTATTTGTGTTTGACTGTAGGTAAAACTTCAATTTGCAGTGAAAGAACAGACATCTTGAGAGTTTATAGAAAGTCAGAGGTTTTTTAAATGGCAAAACCCACTCTCGCCAGCCTGACTGATGCAACAATTGAAAAGGAATGTTAATGTTTTTTTTTCCACTATCAGGCAAAGGTATTAGCCACACATAGGCAGTGATGTAGCACATGTGTTTTCATTGCTGCTCACTCCTCTGCCCTGTTTCATTATTGTTTGATTATCCATGGGGTGAGGGGAGTCTGGTGGTTGACTCTGGGAATGAGTAGGGAGACCTAAGCCATACTGACACCTATCTCTCTGTAGCTAACACTTACGTTAAGGCAGCTAGCTGCTGATTAATTAAGGGAAAAAGCAAAAAAAAAAAAGAGAGAGAGAGAGAGAGAGAAGGTAGCACTCTTTAGCTTTTAACAGTATCAAACAAGCAGTGGAAGAGTCCATACAGTACTGGAAATAGTGGGAAATACTGAGTTATTCAAGCAGCCCTGCATTGATTTTTCTCCCATAGAAGCCTCCTCTCCATTCATAGTAGCTCAGACAAAATAAAATAAAGAAATAATACACACACTTCCTAAGAAAGCATTTTAAAGGAGAACTATGCGTTAAACTTTTTTTGTTAGGGAATTGTTAAACTTTTTTTGTTAGGGAATTTAGCCCTGAAGAGTTCAATAACTAATTTCTTTTTGTTACATTTTTATGTAACAAATTGAAACTTTGGAACTTCAGGGCACATTTGTGAGACATCAGAGATTTAAAGAGCTGTATCCTTAAAACTAGTTTTTCTATCAGTGCAATAATTGACTGCATATTTGTTTTATTGTGCCCATAAAATGCAAAGTGCATTGGTGATTTGTTTCTGATACATCCCTGAGGTCTCTTCTCTTTGTTTCATAGCCCATTAGCACCCTTAATTATATGCTTCAGGGAGCACATCTTCTTTATAGAAACTTCTCTATGAATTAAGACCTACTTGCAAATGTGTTGCTACCAAAATGGTACAACCAGTTTCACTGATGATATCCTCAACATAGTGTTTTTAATGGTAGTAGTACTCTGGAACATTCTTCCTGTTTCAAGTTTTCTATTACTCTTCTAAATTTTTTTAAATAGTATTTAATTTGTTTGCTTGTGACTAGGTGAAATGTGTTATAGACTCAGTGGGCAAAGTACTTTTCTACAGATGAAATTTGTTTTGTTGCAAAAAAAAAAACAACCCACAAGCCCACAACAATAAATATTTATAGATTATTCTCAGAAATGAAACTGAGAATTCTGAAGGCACCGATACAGAAAGAAAGCAGGAGGCAGAGGTAATGGAAGTAGCTATTGGCTGCATTCTTCTATGGACAGTTTAATCTTGCTACCTCCAGCTTTATCCTTTTGAATTACCTGTTTCATTTTTTAATTGGTCCTGTTGGTTACTTGTTTCAGATTGCATCTGCTGTATAGGTTTATTGCAGTGCTGGAACATATGTGACCCTTGGTCTAAACAGGTGGGGAGTCCTCATCCTGGACGTTTGGAAGGGTTATGCACTCCGCTTCAGGACGTGAATCACCACCGGCATGTTAAACCATCTTCAGTTCTGATTCTGATGGAAAGATGTCATGTAAATCTGAGTGGAAAATATATTATACCAAACCATGTGCCCTTTTGTCCCTGTTTGCTGCTTTAAAATTCATGAATTTGTAATAAATTTAGTTTGTCAAGGTAGTTTTTTGAATTTGCTGCTGACAGCTTCAACACTAATTCCACAGCCAGAGTTTCACTCATGCCTGTTACATGTCTCATCAGGTGGACATGTATAGACCCTGTTGACATTTAGAGAGTCCAAGGCTGTTGTGTTAGAATATGATTTTGTCTTGAGAGAAGCCTTGATTGACTGATTCTGTAGCTTTCATCAGTGTCATTCCCATCTCCCATGATAAACATTGCACTTACTTGATATAACTTAGGGGTGGGAGAAAGCAAGGGTATTTCCTTTCACAGTGATGCTGCTGTCATGCAGTATAAACTCAGTCATTTAAGGTCCCATTTACTGTATATACGGATTCTAGAAAAATATTATTTGGGAAAGTAGCAAGCTGTACTGTTTGCTATTAAATTGTCAACAAATGAAAATGTAGAAATGAACCTATGAAGTTATCCCCATTATTTTGCCTTCCATGTGAATGTGGAGAAAATTGTGATACTGTTTAATGGTTCAGATTAAAGATAACAAATTATGGAGAGAAATTAAGGAATATAGAACAGCTGACACTGCTAGCAGTATCTTGCTTCCCTACAGACACCCATCTTCCTCTTGAAGAGCCATGAGAACTGAATAACTGGCCAGGAAAAAGTGATCCTCTGTGTTGGGCAGATTTGTCAGTAGACAGTTGGAACTGTAGCATATTTTACATAAAACTAAGTAGAAAATAACTTCTCTAGGGAACAACTTGTTTTCCTGAATAATTTTATTGCACACACACC